TCATGTTTTGGGTGTACTATTCCTTTAATCTAAAAAAAGTTCCAATGTTGTGAGGACCGCGGCAACGAGCGGACCTCCGAGGCTGAACGCATTTTATTTGTGTTTATCTGTGTTATTCATTATTAACCCACTAAATGAAAAAAGTAAGAATTTATTATTAGAGACTATTAATAACAGGAGGCGAAAAGCAGCTACAGACGAGCTGAGCATGCGGTGATGTCATCAGTGCGCTCCCGTTCTCCCCGAGTCCAGACTTTCCTGTGTTCTTCTGAAGAACATACTTGGGGACACGAGTCCGCACTCGCGTTCTTGTGCATTGAGAAACGACCGCAGCCTAATCAAGGACAGTTGGACATACAGCTAATTGGACACATAAAGCGGAGACACGTTACTCCCCTACTGTCCAAGATTAAACCGCCGTCACTACAGCTCTGACCACTGGAACCATAAAACCAATGAAACTGAACCGATGAAATTGAGACACTGAAACTTATGAAAATTAAATCTTTAGGAAAGTCTGGATTTTTTTCTTAAGCACTTCTCGGTAGGGCTGCATGATTTTAGCCCAAAATCTTTAAAAAAAGTGTCTTTTTCTTAAACATTTACTTGATCCGGTTCCGTCTGCTGCTTCGATATAATCTGACTCTGTTCGGATCTGATCCTTGGCTTCTCCTCCAGGTTCTTCCCAAAAACAGGAAGAGGAAATGGGGAAAACGGTCATCAAAGGCCTTTCAACCTCACAGTAACCCCCATGGGAGGATGGAGGAGAAGATAATTTGAAGCTCTGATAGTGGGAGTGAACACGAACTGGGCTGGAGCCCACAGCAGATATAAACAGGAGAAAAGCCGGGACACCATGACATCATTCTGCCAGGTTGCTTTCAAGAGCATCCATGGTGAGGAGCTGAATCACATTCATGAAGTGATTCAACAAGGTTTGAACCGCTGTGATCACAGTGGAAACAACCATCAATGAAGCGAAGGACTAAGAAGTTCCTTTGAGATGAATAAAGGCCAATTTATGCTTTTGACGCATAGCCTCTGCAACCGTCAAATCTGTCACTGTGCGCGGCCGCACAACAGTTGTTGCGCACCGCAAAAAATAACCAACTACGCGTCGAAAGTGTGCAGATAAAAAGCAGCTGTGATTGGTCCTTGTATTTCAGGCTGTCTGTGTGGCCGTCATTCTCAATAAGGTGCCAGGGC